ATTTCAACCAAGAATTACCTACCTGGCTAAGCTAAGTTTCATCAGTGACGGAGAATTAAAATTCTTCCCATTCAATCCCTAAGAACTTACGCTGCCTCCAGACCAGCTCTATAAGAAAAACTTAAGAAAGTATTAAACACAGAAGAAAGGAAAGAAAGAACATCAAAGTCCTTCCCAAGAATGCAGAAAAGATTGAAAACATACATGAATCAACCCCAAAATCAAAAGACAGACAACAAACAAACAGCAGCAGCAACAACAAACTCTATAAGAACTTCATGACAGGGATAAACTCTCATATCTCTATAATTAGCCTGAATGTGAATGGACAAATGAACCACTGAAAAGATATAGAATGGCAAAATGGATAAAATATCATGAGGCAACAATATATTGTCTCTAAGAGACACCTCTCAGCAAAAAGGACTCACAGTCTCAAAATAAGAGGATGGGAAACAAAATTTCAGGAGAACAAAACACAAAAGAAAGCAGGAGTTGCAAACTTAATATCAGACAAAATACCCTTTAAGCTTCCAAAAATTTAAAAAGATATGTAAGGTTACTAATAATGATAAAAGGTTCGATCCATCAAGAAGAAATATCCACCATAAACATATATGCACCCAACACAGGATCACCAACTTTCATAAAGCAGGTTCTAAGTAAATTTAAAAAGGATATTGACTCTAACACTAACTATCATAGCTGGGGACTTAAACACCCCACTAACAACCCTAGACAGATCATCAAGATAAAAAATCAACAAGGAGATCTGGAGCCTCAATGTAACACTTGACCAAATGGACTTAACTGGAGCCTCAATGTAACACTTGACCAAATGGACTTAACTGATACCTACAAAACACTCCACTCAACAACCACAGAATATACATTCCACTCATCACCACTTGGAACGTACTTTAAGATCAACCACATCCTCGGCCATAAATCAAGCATAAACAAAGTCCGTAAGACCGAAATTCTGCAATGCACCTTCATGTGCCAAGATCACAGTGGAATAAAAATAAATATGAACACCAATAAAGTTCTCCCAAAACTTACAAAAACATGGAACTAAACAGCATGATGTTAAACAACTGGACCAACACAGAAATCAAAACAGATATGAAAAGATACCTGGAAACAAATGAAAGCAAAGAAACATCTTACAAAAATCTCTGGAATACCATGAAAGCAGTACTAAGAAGGAATTCATATCTCTACAAACACACATGAAGAAAATGAAAAGATCACAGGTTAACAGGCTAACAAATCACCTAAGGAAGCTGGAAAAGCAAGACCACCAAAACCCTAACTTCAGCAGAAGAATCCAGATCACCAAAATAAAAGCCCAGATTCAAGACATAGAAGACAAAAGAATAATACAAAAAAACCAATGAAACCAAAACCTGGTGTTTTGAAAAGATAAACAAGACTGATGAACCCCTAGCTAAACTGACCGAGAAAAAGAGAGAAAAAGCTCAAATAAACACAATCAGAAATGCAAAAGATCAAGTCACAACTGACCCCACAGAAATACAAAAGATTACCAGAACTTCCAGAACTATGTACACGAGTATGGAAACAAACTCGAAACCTAAATGAAATGCAGGACTTTCTTAAATCACATAACCTCCCCAGGTTGAAACAAGAAGAAACTGAGACCCTATATAGACTAATAACAACCCAGGATATTGACTATGCCATAAGAAAACTACCTTAAAAAAAA